AAATATACTGTACTTTCTTTGGATTTTAATTATTATTAATATTATTATCCAGATTTTTCAGAGGGTGTATAAAGGGGTTGTCCCCCTCACTGGTGGTGAATGTGTGCCGTTAAATTGTAATCTCTGTGCTGTATGGTTAAGCTTCATTATACATTTTATATATATATGTATATAAATAGCAAAGTGGCAAAAAAAAAAAAATCCGGTGTTAAGTTCATCCTGCATAAATACAAAAAATCTGTTACAACACATTTTAAGGCATCATTTTAAAGCTGCCTCTTCTGAGGAGTTAAAAAAACCAATAGTGGAAAACTTGACCTAATTTCTCGTGCTAGGGAAATAACACATATCGGATGAGCACAAAAGGTTTTCTGAGTTGGTAAGTGGTTCGGGATAAAGCCTCAGCCTCAGAAATAAACGTGCCGCTTCCATGAAACAAGGGCAGGCAATCCAGGCGCCTGCTGTGCCGTAGGACCTGGCCAGGAGAAGTTTTGGTTTCTGCGTGATGTGGTGGTGCGACTGTGCTGGCAGAGCCTGGCTGGGTGGTGCCAGGGGCGGCGAGGGCAGCAGGGCTGCAGCCTCTCCAGCTGAAAACCGGGCTTGAGCAGCAAAAAGCCTCAGGAGCCAAAAACTGGGAATGCCTGCCTGTACCAGGCTGGTTGGGATCAGGGAGCGGCCTTGCCCTGTTGAGGTCAGGCTCTGTCAGGGCTTTGCTGTGCACCCCATCACCCTGCACGCACGGGGGTCTGGTTGTACTGGGAACCCAGTTAAGTAGATAGAAATGAATCATACTGCTGGTGCTGCTGGCGAAGAAACTAGAGTACCCTTTTGATATCCAAGCTCCTTTAAAGTTATCCCTGGTATTTGTTACATTTTCGCTTGGGCTTTAATTTTTTTTCTAAAATTTACAAAAATGATACTGTAACTGGGAAGTGTGAGACATTGAGACCCAAGGGGGCGGCAGCATCTCCCCAGCTGCTGGCTTCACTGTGTGACTGAAGAACAAAGTCGGCACCTGCAGCTTCTAGACCCCGTCTCTTGTTGTCTTGGGAACTGGTAAAACACCTTGGGAAATTGCTCCCTGTTTGTTGGGGTTAGCTGATCGGCTGGCAGACGCGCGGAGGAAAACAAGACTTTCTAATGGCAACTCTTATTTCTGACGTGACTGAACTCACTTACCACTTCAGAGAACCTTTTGCTGCTCGGGAAGTTGTGATTTTGTCACGATTTATGCACACGCATGAACTTTGCTGTACATCGAGTGGGAGTTCTGCATTCGCATTTACTGTCTATTTTCTTGTGTGCCTTACAAGATGGCTTTGCTGACTGTCTCTCAATAGTCTTTATTTCTATGCAGGTTTTAAACAGTACTGCTACTGTTTTCCTAACGAAAAAAGCTCCGTAAGGGTTAGAGTGTGTACGGAAACCGCACCGATGAATTTAAAACCACAAGTAATCGGTTCTGAAGCACTGCTGAGGGGACTGGTCACACGCTGCCCCAACCCCTCCACCAGACTCAGCAGAACAAGTCTTTCCACAGGCCCCTCCGTGTCAGGGGGAGAATCTCATGCCGTTGAGTAAATGGGAATCCTGATTTTTACTAACAAGTAACTAACTTTGGAACATACTTTTTTAGGAATTGTAAAAACGTTTTATAAAAAAAAAAAAAGATGACATAGCACAGATGTTTCAACAGGTAAAAAAAAATACTTTTTTTAATTAACTCTACTGAATGAAGTTGCAAGCGGATCCAATCCTGGTCTGAACCCATTCAAGTCCGAATGATTTAAGGTTTTTATCTGCTGTTGTGACAAATCACCTCTCCATCTTCGAGATCTCACTACAGTGTTTAAAAATACACGTTGTCAGGGATTCGTCAGAGAAAAACGCTTTAGCCTTGCCTTTCACTCGAAGGACACTAACGCATCAGAAACTTGCGGATTACTGTGCGCACAAGAAATACATAGTAAATAAGGAACAAAATAACTCCTAACAATTGATCGTGGGAAGACGTTAAATTAGAATGTGAAAGAAAGACTTAAATGTAAACGTTTAAATCTTAGTAGAAACTTTCCTCACTTTGCTGTGCAAGAGAACACTGCTTTGCTATATTTAAAATGGCTTTTTTAAAAGAGATTTATGTATTTGGTAAATGTTTGTAGTCAACAGTTCACAAAGAAGCTGTTCACGGTTTAATGATGATAAGCCGTTTGGCGGCACAAGCTGGACTTTGTTGCCATCCTTGAGACGAATCTTTTAAGAAAAAAAAATAAGTTAATCTCAATTTTTTCCCTGAATGTGTTGTTTTTTCTTCAATATACAATAAATATTCTAGTGAACTTTTTATCAAATGGTTAAGAAAATGCTAGAGGTTGTTGTAAAATATTTGTATCCTGCATTCACTAAAGTAAAGATACTGGCTTTTACTGTGTACTCCAGCCTCTCTCGTGTTTGCAGAGCACGTGCTCCTGCCTGGCGCGTTTCGCCCCCTCTCCAGGTTCCCGAGATATTCCGCAGCAGGGATCCTTGTAATGGGCGTGGATTTCTGGGAGACGTGTACTTGTGGTGATGTTCACATCAGGAACTGATGCTCTGTGAGAACCTGACTGCCAAACACTTTGCAGAGACTGGCACAAAGAACACAGGGTAGCTCGGACAGGTGACCCGAAGGCAGACCCTTCCCGCCTGCCCTTCTCCGCATGCTCCCATTTCCTTTTGCTGCTGTTGCTCCGTTTCTTGCTGCCAGGGCTGCTGTGAGCTGGGCAGGCGGCTGGGAAGCTGCAGTGGGCAGTGGCACCATGCAGCGCTGCGCTGTTCCCGTCACGCCTCTGGGGCTGCAGTTCTGCCCCGTGAAACCCGCAGCACTCCCGTGCTCGCTGCTTCCCTGAAACCAGCGGTTCTGGTGGGAGAAAGGCCCTGGCAGGGAAAGATGTCCCGAATTCTGACTCTTCCAGTGTGAGGTGGCCAGGCGGCTGGACACACCTGACAAAGGGAAGTGCCCAGCTGTGCAGTGGCATTGTCCAGCTGTGGTGACAAAAAAATTAAGCACAAGCTGTCGGGGGGGTGGTGCCCCTTGTGCTTTTATTTCATTATTTTGCTTTATTTAAAAATGTCATAATTCCCTCCAGAGCAAAGAGCAATATTTCCTTCACAGAAGAAAAATACAAAAGGGGTTTTTGTTCGTGTTTTTTTAAGATACTTTAGAGTCCTTTAGGTCACCTCAGGCTTTCCTGAGCACTTTTTCCGACAGTTACAGGAAACACAGGTTCTGGTGGTAACGTCACACAGTTCTGCTCACGTGGCGGAGTGTTCCTTGTTGCTGGGAAGCCTCACTCCCAAGGCCCACCCCCCTCCCTGTGCAGACACCTTCAGCCTGCACTTCCTCAGGCCAGGATGAGCCCACCTGTGCACCACGGGCTGGTACCGCAGCCCTCCCCCAGCCTCACCCTTGCTCACAGAGCAGCAAGCACCAAAACCCCCCAAAACCACACCAGCCCCTGGCACATTCCATGGCAGTGCTGCTCCGGCCGTGCCAAAGATGCCACTGCCTTTGCTCAGCTTCCAGCCCACCAGCTGGCG